CGTCACCTCTAATCTCCACCACCAGTTGCCCAAATGTGTCTGCTGCAATCTCAACAGGACGAATATCAGACTTCATCAACAATTTTAGAGCGTCTTTAAGCAACTAACAAATTTTTTTACCCAGGTATGGTGCTTCACGGGATAAACATTTGTCAGCATAAAAAAGAAAGCGCTTCCTTTGCAGGCAGCCCTTTTGCCCCTAAAAAAACCCACCTAATCCTTTTAAGATTTAAAACCGTAAGTGCGGTCACCATTTCGTATCTGTGTTGCGATTGTGTATGCAACATCTAGCGCCGCTTAACGAAAGGAGACACAAAGTTCGATGTTGCTTTAGAAACCACTAACTACATTTTTCAGCCATCCCATAACCATTTGTGACTTACTTCCCATTGACTTACATCCTAGGGCAGTGTTTCCCAAACTTCTCTTAGTTGCTGCGTTTTTATTAAAAAATGCAACCTAACCAAAGTAAAAAATATGACTATTTGCATGCAAAAGATTTTTTTTTTAAACTCGTTTATCTTGGAATATTTCGCAGCGCCCCTGTGAAGAGGTCGCGGCTAACTAGGGTGCCCAATTTGGTAATCACTGTCCTAGGGATTTCAGTCTATTAGCTCCTCATGGTGGCAGTAATCCGTGAAAAAAAAAGGAAGTGAAGAAGAGAAACAAGAAAGATATAATGAGGCACAGCATCCACATACTGTCTTGAGATTGGCAGGGAGTGTCACTTTTAGAGTTCAGGTATGTCAATGTCTACAGACTTCAAACCAGTTCTTAGAGAGGAAATATATAGTAAAAATCCCATGTCAACACACTATCTTTCTAGAAATGTGAAAAAGTGATTGGTGTGTGTATGCTTAACTGTATGCTGATTTTATGCTTTTATACATTGCTCATCTATTAAAACTGTAAAACATACAATATCATATCACATTCTTTATTCTTTGAATTTGAATACAACATATGACATGATAAAGACTTTTCAAGTGAAAACACCCGACTCATAATAAACTGCTAAATTCCATATAAATAAATTCCCAGTTCACAAGTGGAACAATTAACATAATCATGCCATTCCCTGTATCCAACACTTGCAGAATAAAGTTAATAAACATATTATATGAACGTTAAACAGATAACCATTAACTATACAACACCATATCACAGCCTGTGAGTATATTAAGAAGACAGTAAATGTATGTAAAACAGTTAACATACTTGTCTTAACCGCATGAGTTACATCAAAGATATATGTTCATAAATTAATAAATAGTAGAACTACTTTATTCAGCTAACAGTAATAAATAATTTAAAGGGAATCACAGTGTTAACATCAACAACTATTTCAAAAATATCACAATAACAAAAAACAATTACATCAATAAACATGTGGCACATCTACTCTTCATCTCATGATACTTGATCCGCTGAGACAGTGAATGTTTATACTACTGGTTTTGCCACCAGTGCAGTCCGTTCAACATTTTTTTTTTTTTTTTTTTCACATGGAGTGGTGATGAGTATCCTGTGTGGTTTTCGCGGCATGTAGAAACTGAGTAATTATGGGGTGGTCCCTCTACCCGTTAGTTGGAACAGCAGCTAACCCAATGGAACATAGGCCACCAATCAAGTCATCCTATCCTTTTCCCCAAGTGGGTTTCATTGACCAATTTGGGAGGAAACAAATTAGACCTATAACAAGCATATCATTGGAGGTGATTAACTAGGGGTGTTTTCTTCAGTGGCATGCATCTGCCTGAGAGACTAGGGGCCAAAAGATCTATCTATAAAACAGATTTGGATGCAGAACTCAAGCTCTAAATTTTTTGTCCTTATATAACCTGTCATCCCGTCACTGCTCAACAAATTGGGCCTTGAGCCTCTGTGAGTTCCCACACACACAAATCTTTAAAAACACTGTATGTAGGTAACTAATAAATGGTTTAAATTTTTTATTCAATTTCTTTTCATAAAAAAAATATATCAGGATTTTTAAAGGGAATTATCAGGAAACATGAACAGAGTGAAGCAGTAAATCGAATATTTCGAAGCCTCGGAAAAAAAAAAAAAAAACACAACACACACACACACACACGCACGCACGGTGGCGGCACGCACGCGCACACACACATACACACAAACATGTGTCTGGTGACTCATGCCGCGACCCCACAACCTCTATCACTGAGACTTGCAGACAAATGTGACATCAACTTAGCTTTTTAAAAGCTATTTGGTTCACAGGAAAACATCCCTAAATGCTATCGTTAGCTAATATATCCATATCCTGACCAAAACTTTGTACAGGCATGAACTTATTTATGCCAATAGCACTAAACTATGCAGTATGTAATATCCAAGACAGGTCGGAAAAGTGACATGGATAGGGAACTGGACTCAACTTGAAGTGTCAGTTTGATGAAGATTTTCTGAAAAACCAGGTTAGTTCAATCAAGTCATTGGAAAGTAAATTGGCCAAGTAACAAGAGAACCTTTCTGTTTTACTTTGTATAAACAATGGTACTAGGCGGCATCCTGGGAAGTAAAAGTGGTCAGTGTGTTGTCGAACACATTACTCAAAGGGTGAAACCTGATCTTTATATATATCTATATATAATATATATATATATATATATATAGAATATATATATATAGATATATATTACTATATATATATATATATATATATATATATATATATATTATATATATATATAATATATATATATATATATATATTATATATATATATATATTATATATATATATTATATATTACTATATATATATATATAATATATATATATATATATATATATATATATATATATATATATATATATATATAATAAGGAGTCTTTATTATAAACTTTTTGGGAATAACTCACAAACTCGGGCCCACCTACACATTAGCTGACCTTTCATTGATGCTAGGTTGGGCTGGTTAACCTTGGTCAAGGTTACAGGGGTGTGCAGCTGTACTTCTGTTTTCATACAGCTTTCTGCGTTACTGGTTAATGCTTATTCTGGAAGTGGCGGCCGCCAAAATTGGGTGCTCACTTGTAAGCAGTGTTTGTTGGTGGGTATATGACCGCCATCTAGGATTTTGCATAGAAAATAAGTTTATTTCAGAGGGTGGCGCTCATGACTGCAAAGACACAGCGTTGTGTGGGCCACCGCAAAATGTTAAGAAATCTTAAACCAGGCATGTGAATGAACTGTCTCGTTGGACCTAAGTTTTAGGAAGGCGGGTTTGGGGTTAGGGCCAGTTATACGTTATTGGGTCTTTAAAAGCGCTCAGGTCCTCTAATAAAGAGCGCATGTGGTTCTGATTAGGAGCGTTGATCAAGCTCAGGTCCTCTAATAAAGAGCGTGTGTGGTCCTGATTAGGAGCGTTGATCAAGCTGACACCCCTTTCACTTACACATGCGCATCTCAAAGGTTAAGCGGAGACTGAACGTTCTATCACAGTGTCCTGGTAGGACTCTATCAAACATAAGTGCGGAGGTGGGCCCTGAGTTCATGAAGTGTGCCACTTTTTCATGCTAAACTGCTCACAAATGACATTAATTGAGTGTGTAATCGATTCTATGAATGCTGAACTTTAAAAAAAATTTACCAATTTGAAAAATATATATATATTTGCCATAAACTGGAAAAAATGGGCACAATCTGACCCCCTAAAATATGGGGTCCTTTTACATAAACAAGAACATCTACCTTTACAAATATTTTATGAAATAACAGAAAGGAATGACTGGTGTTTTAGTCATTTTAATTAGCAATTAAAACTTTCGGCTCCAGACAGTGTTCGGTTCAACACTGTCTATGCTAAAGTTTGTGTATCCGAGAGAAACACATTTTTTTAGTCTTACAGAGCTGAACAATATAATTCTGAGAGAGAAAGTGTCACAGTTGTAGCTGGAAAATAAAGGGTAAACGTTACCATAGCAGAAGACGGGGATAGGACAGGTAAATAAAAGTGTACCGTAAAAAATGTTACCCTTGAAAGTACAGCGAGTGGCTTGGTACTGAAACAAGTAGGGAATGGTGAAGGGCTGGATTCTTTTCCACCGCTGGTGCATCAGACATATGGTGCTAGGACCATACATGTATAGACCAATCAGGATTTAAATCTATATGTGACGATAATTACCTTTACTTCTCGTATGACATGTATGATTTTAACAAACCCTTAATCAGTTTCCTTTAGGAAATGCTTGGGGAGAACTTTATTAAATGCTTGGGGAGAGTCTCCTTTATGAAATGATTGGGTAGAACTTTATTAAATGCTTGGGGAGTCTCCTTTAGAAAATGTTTAAGAAGTCTACTGTATGAAATTCCTAATAAGAGTATACAATATGAAATGCTTGGGAAGAGTCTACTGCATGAAATGCTTGGGAAGAGTCTCCTGTATGAAATGCTTGGAAAGAGGAGTCTACTGTATGAAATGCTTGGAAAGAGGAGTCTACTGTATGAAATGCTTGGAAAGAGGAGTCTACTGTATTCAATGTTTGGGAAGAGTCTCTAGTATGCAATGCCTGGAAAGAGGAGTCTACTGTATGAAATGCTTGGAAAGAGGAGTTTACTGTATAAAATGTTTGGGAAGAGTCTCCAGTATGAAATGCCAGGGAAGAGTCTCCCTTATAAAAAGCTAGGGGAGAGTCTCCTTTATGAAAAGCTTGGTGAGTCTGCTTAATAAAATGCCAGGGGAGGATATGCTTTTTGAAATACTTGGAGAGATTCTGATTTATAAAATACTTGGGGAGAGTCTGCTTTATGAAATGCTTACAGAGCATCTTCTTTACGAAATGCTTACGGAGCATCTCCTTTTTAAAATGCTTAGGGAGAGTCTCCCTTATCAAATGCTTGGAGAGAATCTCCCTTATCAAATGCTTGGAGAGCATCTTCCTTATGAAATGCTTGGGGTGCAGTATGTCCATTCTTTTGTACCCAAAATGGGTCCCAGAGTATGCCACCAGCATCAGACCTGAACAGTTCTATTTATTTACCATCCTGGCTGGGTGGCCTGCTACCAACTGGACACGCCTGCATGGCACGAGGGGGCCACCTAGATACCTCTGCTGGACAAGGTTTTGCATCATGTGACTTTGAGTCACACCTCTGACCAGGCCATGCCCCATCAGTGCTGCTGCTCTTTCTTCAATCATAGAGGTACTTTGTATGGTTTGTGACTGTAGCAATGGGGCACCCAAGACTCCAGTCGGAATATATCTGAAATTAGATGCAAATAGTTTGAGGTATAAAAGATGCTATTATTTTGTTTAATACTGTTACTTAACTATTTGTTAAAACGTAATTCTGGTGAATATTTAATTAAATTAGTGTGTTCAATCTTCTGTGCAACTGCATATGAGACTTTTTACAGTAGAACATCTGAGAGGAGAGCAAGAGGAATACTGAGACAGATACGGATAAATGGCAAAGCCCAAACCTGCAACAACAAACAAATCCATCACTCAAGCCACCCGAGAAGTGCAGGACAAATACAGAAAAACATGACACTGGGCTACAACCTGGTATCAGTGAGACGACGAAAGAAGAATCTTCTGTGTTCACTCTTAAAAGGGTAGCTGACACTTTGTGTTGAGGTTTACAGCTAAGCTGCATAATTTGCGCATTTTGGCATAATTTAGATGCCTTTCGCAGTATGTTCATTGTTGGGGGGGGGGGTCCCGCAGCTGTTCCATTCTTCCCCTCTAAAAGGAAGTCTTGATACTTAGCTACTTATGCTACCTATCATGGGTCAGGCTTTTTTTTGTGTTTTTTTTTTTTGTCAGAGTTCATCCTTTTTAAATAATGCTGTATTCTTGCTGCTACAGTCCCTTACTGCTCACTTTATTCTTCAGCACTTTTTCCATTCAAATGAGCAGTCACTCAGCTAACTAACACTAAGTCATCTTATCTTTTGCTATCACATGGTGCACCATGATACAGGCTTTAAGTCAAGACATGGTGGCACCTAATTTCAATATCAGTTTAATGGATGATCAGTAGCCAGGGTAATGGTTGACAAGAGTACAATGTCTTAATCAACCAATCAAGAAATGACACTACTGCACTAGGGACATTCCCATGCATGCTCCGCCCCGCTCCTCTGTGGCCAATAAAGAGTTCCATTACTGATGGTACTAGCTTGTAGGGATAAAGGGCACATATATGACACATTCACAAATATATTGGGTGTTAAAGACTGACTGAGCCACAATGCTTACAGATCTTACCTTATCCCCCTCTGCTGTATAAGACTGGCCTGCTGTGCGGTCAGGGCTCTCTGCCTCACAGAATCGATATGCATCATCGTAGACTGCGTCATGGCAGCAGGGGCCACAACCTGCTGCTGGAACACTGTCTGCTGTGCCAGGCCAGCAAGGTCTGTCCTTATGGTCCGCTGTTGAACCAGTAAAGTCTGGCCCCTGTTGGTGAGTGAGTGGTGCTGGAGGACGGAGGCGGCCTGCATTCCATTAGACAATGCTGGGTGCTTCACATCATTAGCACGTGCCATGCCTCTGTTCATACTCTGGTGGTGCTGCTGCTGCATCATCCGGACACCGCCTGGACGCCTGGCAAAACTGACCAGTAGACTGGACATGACTACTGGTCTACCCAGTGCTTGAAAGTTTGAAAATACAATATAACTGTATTTTCAAAGCAGTAATTAAAACAGAGTTAATATGGTATGGGAACAACGCTTCATAAATAAGGAAGCAATGTTTAACAATTGAGCAATGTTTAATAATTAGACTGCTTAACAAAGGCATTGTTGTGTTCTAAAATTATTTGCACTTGGCCTGATGCTGAAACAGCAAGACATGGACCCCCCACCCCCAATAATTTTTTCCCCAATTAAACTTTAATACACTATTTCTATACTTAGTTGTAAGCTTTTTTATCGAATTTCTTCCCTTTTTTTTTTTAAATATAAAAACATAAGTATTACATTTATTCTGCCTTTATTATTCATAATGCCTTGGTTAAACAATTTATAGTACTTTATTATTCACATCTCAAATTACTGCAAAGTCACTGTTTTAGTGTTCATCGGCTGCATACTCTGGCCGAAAGTTCTTGTTGCTCATCCCAGAACTTGTGTTTTGCCTGCAAATCCGTTTGCAGATCTGGTTTTTGTGTGTGTGCAGACTATTTTTTCTTTACCTCCAAGGCAGATGCACTCCAACTCTGAAGGTTACAACCTTGTTCAATTTTACAGCATGTTTATTGGGACGGGATATCTATCCTTTAAACAAGTACAGAAAGTCCACGTACCATAAATGTCTGACACAATCATAACAAAAGAAAACATGATACTGAAAGACATAACAGAGTAACTGAAGGCAAGAATGGTTAGAATCAAGTGGGGAAATCAACATCCTATGATGGTAAGTGAGGGGCTCTTTTCATGTCTGTGATGGGCCATCAGGCATATCATGCTGGACCCAAATTTTTAGATTCATGTGACCAGTTGCCATTACTTCCTATGAACTGACCCATTTTAGGATGTGATGCCCTGGCAGCCAAGGTGGTTCTTTTCTTTTTCTTCTCAAATCCTCCTGCTGCAGATTTAAACTCAAGACCTTCAGACTAATGGGCGTCTGTCTAGTCACTGCACTACTACAGCTCCTGGCATGATGTGATGCATTAACAATTATAGACGTGGAAATTTGGTGTAACACACAGAAGCCCTAGAATATTCCCAAGGAATGAAGATTTTTATCATTTAGGACAGCACTACCACTGCTTGGCGAAATTAAATTCCTTAGGCCAGAGAAGAAAGAGGAGAAATAGACACACCACAATTTTTCAGCAATTGTATGAAAATCTTTTCAACAAATAAGAAACCTGGACAGTATCCAGTATGCAAAAAGCCTGCACTCCCAAATGCCAGGAAGCTGTGCTTCAAGCGAATATTTCAATACGTCCAAAATGAGATGATAATATGTAATGAACTTTTCATTCCATGCTGGCAACATAAGTTAATTGTACGTATTTCATTTACTAATACATTGTAGCAAAATAATGAATCTATACTTATTATTAAAAATTTAAGAAACTAAATAAGATTATTAAATTAATACTATGACAAGCCAACTGTAAGGGCTAAAAAAAAACTGGTATGTGCAGAACAGAAGTAATGAAATGGTATGACAGATCAACTGATGTAGACTTTGAGACAACTAAACAAATTCTACAGAATTAGGAGGTGAGGAAAAGATGCTAGCACTGAATAAGTCTACATAAAGAAAACATGATAATACTACAGCTAAAATATCTTTGTCTACTAGAACCCACAGGGTCGATGGAATAAAGGCAGACCAAAATTATAGCTGTGGCATCGCAACCCCTAGACACTTGCCTGCTGGCAAGTAGGTCTTAGATTTAAATCCACATCTAGAAGAAAAAATTTTATGACATTGACTCCCAGGCGATCCAGCCTGAAATCGGTACCAAGTAATGTCATGATAAGTAAAGAAAGAGGGCATGATGGTGACAAAATCATCCAGCGAGTGCTGAAGGGTCTATTAAAAAAATACTGGTAGCATCATATGTCTGATGTGCCACTGGTGTTTAAAAAAAAATAAACAATACTGGTAGCATCATATGCCTGGTGTTTTTAAAAAAAAAAATTTATCTTTTCCTGCATTTTTTTTTTTCACTTGAAAAAACATATGGAGTGAAGTGGAAAAGATAAGAAAGACATTGTGCGAACTACATGTGATGACAACAGCAAGGAGCAATTAAGCCATTTGTACCTAAATGGTCACTTCTGGTATGCGTCAATGCCCTTGTAAATGCCACAAATGAAGTAACTTTTTAAAAGAATCTTTGCTAAGCACCTTGATTCCATTCGCATATGTGCTAATGTTTAATAGGTCTGCCTGTGTTACAGTTAATTAAAAAAAAAACAGTAGCATTTCTGGGCGTTCTTGTTTGTTGAACTGGCTTCATTTTTAGAAATTACCACATCATAATTTCACTTTACACACAGCAGTCTTCAGTGGCCAGGTCATGGGGAAAAAGTGAGTCACAATAAATTTATTTAACCCCAACAAGATGAAATTTAGGTGATTTTCTGCTGATTCTGTTTTTACTTTTTAAATAATTTCATTAATGCATAGGTTTTTTTTTAGTGTCTGAAAATGCAATTGTTGTGATTTTTTTTTTTTTTTTTGTTGAAAGGTTCAAAAAAAAAAATATTTTATTGGCAAGTCCCAACTTCTAAAATTACAGGTATATGGCATTGTTTTTCTGTGGCAAAAGGGTTAAACAAAACAGAGGGCTATTTAAAGTGAGTATGTTCATAAGGGGCAGAGAAAAAAAGAAGACATGTCAAACCATACCTTGAACCACAGCTGTGCCATACATAGTGCGATTCATGTCAGACATGTAGGGAATCGAGCATCCAGAGGGCATACAAGTGACCACTACAGGCTGCCTGCTAGTTGGAGGTTTAAATGTCTGGTCATCTGCCGAGAGTGCTGTTTTTTCATGATTTCTTTCTGAAGGAATGGGATGAAGCTACAGAAGAACAGGTACTGGCCAGCTCTTGATCATCGCTAGATATGTCTACTTCCCAGGTATCTGTGTTTTCACACACAGTGAATGCTTCACTTTGAAGTATTTGAGAATTCGGCACTGTTCCACTGATAACAGCGTCACCTGAGCTGTCTCCCGACTCCCATCCAGCAACCTGACTCTGGCAAGGACCATACTGTTGGATCGGTGACACACTGGCATCCTCAGCCATGACCGTAGTTCCACACTGCAGATGGAAGTTCTCCTCCTCTTCTTGGCGATGATAAACAGAGTTCACACAGCTGGCTGGAACATCAACGTCCAATAGTTTTTCACAGTTAACGTCTTCTGTATTAAAATTTAGGTGCTGTTCACTGGACAACACATCTTTATCGCAGTGTGTCTCTCTACAGCCCATTAAATGATTTTTATTTTCATCTTTTTGTTTACTGTAAGACTTCTTCATTGCAGACAAATGTTTCATGTCTCTATTTCCTATAGAATGTTTGCATATGAGATCTCTATTATAATTATTGTTATTTTTAATATTTAAATCAGAAGTTTTCAGAGATAAAAATGTTAGAATTGTCTGAACTTATTTCTGACTTATGGACACTATTACAAATACTTGATTGGGATGAATTATTGAACCCTTGTGAAATTTGTGCTAATTCATGCTGGCCCTCAGGGTTGGAATGTTGCAGACATGGATCTGACAATGGGTCTTCAGAAAGCTGTTGAAACTGGTAGGTAACTGATGACTGATCATCTTCTGCTAGCATATTCTGAGAAGCTCCGACTGAAAGACTATCTTCTGGATGACGTTCTGTACAACAATACCTGCTTGAAGAATTCAACGGTAATCGCTGGTGACTAGAAGTCTCTATGACTTTGTCAGTTTCACTAATCAAAGTCTGATAAAGATATCCACATGCAGTACTACATTCCAAATTCTCAGAATTATCTTTCTCAATTTTATTGCTCAAGATGCTCATGGTTTCTGTGTGCCCTGATATATTTTGGCTACATTTGTGTTTTGCACAGTTGTCAGGGCATGAGATATATCTGACACTAGGTTTCACTGGCATAGACTCTACATCCTGCCCTTTTTCCAGTCTGTTACCATCTGCTGGAGAGAGCAAATAACTTCTTTCCCCAAACTGGCATCTGGTGCTTGAAGCTTCAAAGTTATCACCATCAAGATAGGTAGAAGTGCTGCTCTGTTTGCTAAAGATGTTTGATCTACAGTTAGCTTCTTGATGATTTAAGTAACTGGTAGATAAAACTGTATCAATGCAATCATCTGTCACATTTTCACAAGTGTTGACATTTGTTGGTAATGAACGTCCTGAGCTGTCGAAATCTTTGATGTCATTATAAAACATACAGTCTTTCTCTGCCTCCCAGAGACTGGGGCACCCATTTATGCAAGTCTCGCCTGTTGCCTGACGGCACTGACATTCTTCACTGTGCTGGCACAAAACTACTTCACCATGTATCACAGGACTATGTAAAGCTGAACAGTGAGTCAGTGGCCTTGTCTCAGGCAAATCTAAACAGTCAGATGTCCCTTCAATGCTGTCCGTTTCTTCAGTCCCAAGTAACCAAGACACTGTTTCATCAGCGCAGTCTTCAACCTGCAAACAAATACAAAGAAAAATTAATTAGTAATTTGAAAGAAAAATAGATAACTGGCAGGTGGTACCTGAATAGGATGACGTATTATAGTAAAACTCTGTGAGCAAGTATAGATATTGTGGAAGATACTGATTTAATGGAATAAATGGCAAAATCAAACAAGATCTCGCAATCACATCGAAATATCCTAATATTTACTAAATTCTCATATTTAAAAGAACACTGCTTTTGTCCATTGATGAGAGCCAAACATAGCAGATAGCAGAAATACATTTAACTAAGTTCAGGTGAAGAATACAACCACAATTAATGATTGACAAATCAGAATTAACGCTTGTGTGTTTTAATCATACATTGGACGCAGCCTAGAATGGTTTAAAAAAGACACAAGTTAGCTGTATTTCCTTTACAGGCCATTGCAGAAACAACCCCCAGTATTTGTTTGTTTGTGATACAACTAGGTAATTTTACATTGTGTCATTTGCCACTGCTTTCTGAAATGCGTAATATGAATACCACTGTTGACACATAGGCAAGGCGGTCTGCCATCTAATCGGCCAAAGCTTGGATCGAATATAGCACCACGGAATTATAAAGCGTGTTTGCAGCCGCCCAAGCCAGAGACGCTGATCTAGAATGAGTTAAAGTTAGTTATGTATTCTTTGTATGACATTGCAGAACCAACCCCAGCATTTTTTTTTGCTGTTGAGGTTTTTCTAGGCAAGTTAACATCCAGTAGGTTGTCACTGCTTTCTGGACTGTCGGCTTCCTCATACCATTGTCGAAACCAGCACAAGTCCTGCTGCTGGAATCAAACCCACCACCCCGGCATTACAAAGAGTGTTCACTGCGTCTAAGCCACAGATGCCAATCTAGCATAAGTACCAAGTTTAAACAATCTATTGAAAAATAAAAATCAGGGCTAGTACCAAATGTTTCATGAGCCACTGGTGTGATGTTTTCTTTGGATTTAACACCTTAAACACTTCACAAACTGATCAGTACTGGTCTCTCGGGCACCCCTCAGTTCCATGGTAAGAATAATTATGCCCAGTAAAAGTTAAAGGAAAGTGACAAAACAGAAAGCCATAAACATCAACTAAGTACAGATTTATGGCCCAACCGCAGATAGTTCAAAGGAAGATACTGACGCATTTTAAGACGAGTTAGACATGGCTGCAGACCAATGCAAAAATTGTGAAGTAACAATGGTACTTGGAGATTTCAATGCAAATATAGGAAGTGAATAGGTGTACGGAATAACGGGTGGCCTTGGCTTAGGAGAAAAGAATGTGAGAGGTGACAGATTAATAGCACAGGCTGAGTCGCACAGCATGATTAATAGGTAACACCTGATTTAAACACCTTCCTCGAAGAGTGTGGACTTGGGAAAAGTCCTGGCGATAATGTCCGCAATCAGATTGATTATATTCTGATTTCAAGAAGATTCCAAGCAGCTTAGTTGGAGCAAAAACTAGACCAGGAGCAGACTGCTTCAGTAATCATGTTCCAGTTATAGGACAAATTAGAATAAAACTAAACAATATTAAGAAAACACAACAGAACATCAAATTAAATTTAGGAATTCTTAGAACGGTTAAAAAAATTAGGGAACAGTACAATGTCACTGTACAAAACTGGTACAACGCAATGGAAATTATACAGACTTTTGATGAACAGTGGGATATGTTGCATGAGTCAATTCAGCAGACATCAAAAGAGACAATCCCACCAACCCAAGGAGTTGCAAAAAAGAATTGAATGTCAACCAAAATTCTGCAGTTGATGGATGAAAGAAGGAAGACAAAGAATGATAAAGAAGAATACTCAAGAATATAAAAAGAAATAGTGAACAAATGCAAAGTGGCTAAAGAAGCCTGGCTGAATCAAATGTGTACAGAGGTTGGGGAAAATCACAGGAAAGACTCACATTCCATGTACCAACAGATAAATATGTTATCAGGAAAGATGAGGCGTAACAGCACTGGATGTTTAAAATCAAAAGATGGTGACTTATTAATGGGACATAGTAATATAATTAACAGATGGACAGGGTATATAGGGGAATTGTATGATGATAATAGACCAGATGTAGAACTGCAGACCAACAATGATGGTCCACCAATAATGACTGCAGAAGTTGGGGACGCATTGAACAATGTGGATTTGTAGAAGGAAAAGGTACAAACAATGCCTTATACATCCTAAGGACATTGTCAGAAAGAGCTATAGAAGTTAAGACTGATTTGTACTTGTGCTTCATAGACTATACAAAAGCATTTGACTGTGTGAAGCATGAAGTAGTAACAAAACTGTTGAAAAAATTAAACATTGATGGAAAAGATCTACGAATAATAAAGAATATGTATTGTCAGCAAGGCACCTATTTAGGTACATTTTAAAGCATAAAGAGGGGCATACGACAAGGATGTGTACTACCACCTGATTTTTTTTCAATATACAGTGAATATATTATGAGATCTTTAATTGATATGCCCAGAATTATGGTTGGTAGGCACAATTTACGTTATGCTGATGACACAGTCTTAATAGCAACAAGTTGGAAATAACTACAGGAAATGATAGATATTGCGGTGTAAGAAAGTGGAAGAATGGGCCTCAGTTTGTATAATGGGAAGACAGAAGTAATGGTGGTATCAAATAAATGAATTATTCCTAAATGTGTAATAAAAGTGGATGGTGATATTTTGGGACAAGTAAAGAAATGTAAGTATCTGGGCATATAGAAAATATCAGATGGAAGATGCATAACTGACATAAGAAACAGAAAAGGATAGGCAAAAAATGCATTTTATAAAATGAAGACATCTTGTGCAATATACCTATGTCATTGAGAGTTAGAAATAGAATTCTTGCTTGCTACATACATCCAGTTTTAACATATGGCTGTGAATCCTGGACAATCTGTAGACAGGCCAAACAATTTTTTGAGGCCTCAGAGATGTGGTTTTATAGAAGAATGCTTAGAATACCCTGGACAGCCAAAAAGAGCAACCAAGAGAATTTGAAAGAGGCTGGAGCCCGAAGACAACTTATCACAGACGTCAAAAGGAGACAATAGACCATTTTGTGACCACTGGAAAGATCTGTGGAGGGAGGGATGGAGGAAGACAATGAGAGAAGATTTTTGACAACCTTGTTGTATGGCATGGAGGTGTGTCGGCACACGCACTGATACATGCTGCAGGAGATCGCAGATTGTGGAGGGGCATGATCACCCACGCGTCAGCACGGCACCTGATGATGTTGTTGAATACTTGAGGAATGACTGAAGACACCTTAAAGGAGCTAAATTGTGAGATGCCAAATCGTAACAAACCTTCTGAGATGGGTATATTTTTTTCAGAATCCTGTGACAACAATGGATACACTACCTGGCATATCAATGATACCTTGGTGGAACAAGTGAATGATCTGGTAGCAAGTAGACAACATATTGGTACCTACAGTGATAACAAATATGAATGAAATGTTAGCAACAAATGTTGGTGCAACAAATACCAGTCTTGATGTAAGCTTCCAAACAATGACCCTGAATTATTATTTTTTTTTTTTTACTAGATCTTTGCAGGTATCTGGGATCTCAGAGTAATGAGCTGGAGAACATTGAATTGGTCAGGATTTCATTACACAAATCATGGCACATGGAGTTTCCTCTCCCACACCAAATCTCATCACCCCAGAAGGATCAGGTTTATTTATGTATTAAATCAGTACAAATATTATAGTCGAAATCTTAACCTTTTGGACAAACAGCCTATCAAATTTTTGAAGCAGGCACAGCAACAGTAATTTATGTTTTTTATACCCGACAACCTCCGCTAAAAAAAAAAACGCATATGAATTACCCCCCCCCCCCCAAATCCTTTAAAAGCAACAACCAAATCCACGAAGGCTCCTAAACAAAAAAATTTTTATAGGTATTTACAGAATTTTGGGTAATAGAAACTTCAGTCTTCCCTCGGACCGCCCATATACACACTAGCTCACTTCTAATTGGCAACCTTCAGGTTAGCTCATTTCTGATTGGTCAACCTTGAGCGACCCGCCCTTGGCACAAGGTGACGGGGGTGTTCCCCAATGCTGTTGATATCTTGTCTTCTATATTTCAGCATTCCAATGCCTCTAACGCTACAAAAGCATCGACAAACTGGATCTACCCCTTTAGAGAGTGATGAAACCTATGTCACAGGCATTCTCTTTCTCGAAATAAGTAATTGCAAGACATCCCAGAAAGCAAACAACTAGAGCCGCACACCGATAACATCCAGCAGGTTAGACGAGCCCAAGAAAGTTATAAAGTTATAAATGGAATGTGACCTACTTTCCGTGGGGA